AGATAGATAGATAGATAGATAGATAGATAGATAGATAGATAGATAGAATGTTTGAAAGATGTTTCAGACAGTTTAGAGTGAATATGTGAAATTGCTGGATAACACTTGTGGCTGTGGGCTCCAGCTTGTATTGTTTGCTGGACAAAAAAATGTAAAAAAAATCACGTCCCTAGTAGCCTGAGGGGGAGAGAGACTTCAGCTGTTTGTTTTTTCAACAAAATCCTGGGGGCTGCGCGTCACACCCGTGTTTTGGAGTGCGCTTCAGTGAGTCTTCACGTCAGCCCATTTATTTGTGCAAAACATTTTCGCAGCCTCAGGGTGCAAAGTCTGATGACTGACAGTTATCCATCCATTAACTTCACCTTTATCCTTGATAGGGGTCAGTTTGGGTGGGTGTGGTGGGATACAGTGGGGGGGAATATGTTGGAGAGCTGAGTTCAACAAATGGTTTGAGCCCATTATTTAGGTGGGGATCTGGTACTGATTAAGCAGTCAAACTGCTCCAGACTGGGTCATTACTGTCGACTGATGTTATACTGGATACTGGATTGAATGTGTAAGACGGTAACTAAAATATTTATATTTACACATTTTGGCTGTGATTACAGTGTTTTATCCAATGAAGCATTACTTTGGTGCCAGTGCATTTATTTCCTTTATTTCCTTCCTTATCATACTTTAACCTGATGAATCCTAGCATTGTCATCTTGGAACACACCTCATTTTTAAAGGAAAACATGTTTGTATGAAAAACATGGTAATTTGGTGTTTCTCATAAGTATCATAACACAACACTCACAGGGCTGACCTGTACATTGAGCATGATAAGTGAAGCCGTTAACCTGCCGCCCATCATGGTGGGCAAGAATCTGCATACATCAGACCGCATGACCATTGATCTGAACGTCAATTTTTACACTCGCAAGTGAACTGAAGCCTTTTTTTTTAGCATTAGCGTCACTGATTAGTGCTTTTCTTTAGGCTTTAGGCTGTGATGAATCGCACTGATGCCACACAATAAGAGGGATCATGGCTCAAATCCTGGCTGCTGCATGTCTGTATATAGTGTGAGATCAATTAGAAACCGTTCTAGAAATTTTTTTCTAAATTAATTTCACCCAAACTCTCCACCAGCCGAGTTCATGTTAATTGATGGCCAAAAGATGGTTAATTCATGGTAATTCTTGGACCTGTATTTTTGGACTTGTAGTCTAAGAATTCTTAAACTGATTCAACCACTAACATGGTTTTGTACCTAACAACTTTCCGGAAAAAGAAATATCAAATTGGGTTTGTGCCAAGATGTCTTAGTGGAAAGGTTCTCTTTGCTTGGTAAATATGGGTCTGTTACCCAGAGAGTCTGTGAAACAGGGAAACAGGAATTCAGAGATATTTAAAACCCCAAAACTCTATTGTCTACTCTCTGTGTGCCAGCTACATTTAAGCTGATAGATAGTAATTGTGTATGTATATTTGTCTTTTCTCACTTTAGATACATTCTCAATTAGCCATAATGAGCACCAGCACTCCCTCCTTCAACATGATTGACTACAACTGGACACCGACACCTGAGAATGTCAACGCGTTTTCTCCGCTCATCACCGTCATCCCTGACAATAACTCAGACACATTACCACCTATGCCCTTCAATGAAGTTACTGCAGTCATCTATAGCATTGTCTTTATTGTGGGTTTCCTTGGGAACACGCTAGCCATCTATGTGTTGGCCCGCTACACCAAGATGAATTCAGTAACTAACATGTACATCCTCAATTTAGCCGTGGCAGATGAACTTTACATACTGGGAATTCCTTTCTTGGGGACCAACAGTACCCTTTCCTACTGGCCATATGGGAATTTTCTCTGCAAAGTCTGCATGACTGCCGATGGAATGAGCCAATTTGCATCCACATTTTGCCTGACTCTCATGAGCATTGATCGCTTCCTGGCAGTTGTTTATCCCATTCGCAGTTCCAAATGGCGGAAGCCAAACGTGGCCAAGATCTTCAGTGGCATTGTGTGGATTGTTTCTTTTCTGATGGTGTTGCCGCTCACCATCTTCTCAAACGTACAGGAAAAGTTCAACACCTGTAACATAAGCTGGCCTGAGACATCTGCGCTGTGGTCCCTTGCTTTCATCCTCTACACATCTATCCTGGGTTTCTTTGCCCCACTGGTGATCATCTGCATCTGCTACCTGATCATTGTCATCAAGGTAATGAGACACATGCAATATGTTTTTAATTTATTCTTAGTCTCAAAATCTGAGAAATACTCCACTCAATATCTTCTTAAATCTTTTCACTTCCAGGTAAAGTCAGCAGGAGTGCGTGCAGGCCTGACTAAGCGACGCAAGTCCGAGCGCAAAGTGACACGAATGGTGTTGATCATTGTGCTAGTGTTTGTACTTTGCTGGCTGCCATTCTTCACTACCAACCTTGTCAACCTAGTTTATGTAATCCCTGAATCCAAAACCAATGCTGCAATCTACTTCTCCCTGGTGATCCTCTCCTACGTCAACTCCTGTGTTAACCCATTCCTTTACGGCCTCCTCTCTGACAATATGAAGAAGAGCTTCAAGAAAGCGTTATGCTTCCAGAAATCAAATGTGGTTGTCAACAGAGATAATGCGACGGATAGAAATCATTCCAAGGTAAATCATCATCATGTTTTCCACTGACTGTAAACACAGTATTGATGTGATTACACTGACCCTGTTTCTAAAAAGTGAGGATGGTGTGCAAATGCTCAAGAAACTAGCACCATTATTGTTATTAGCACCATTGCCTCACAGCAAGAGGGTTCTGGGTTTGAGTCTCGGGGGAACCAGGACCTTTCTGTGTGGAGTCTGCATGTTCTCCATGTGTCTGAGTGGGTTCTCTCCGGCTTCTCCGGCTTCCTCCAACCGTCTTTATGGTGTCTGCACATGCATAAAAAAAAACCCTTATGTAGAACTTGAAACTTAATTTCAGTATACATTGTTACACATATTAAAAATAAATTATGTAGGCCTTCTGAGTGCTCATTCTAAAACATGTACAATGTGTCTTTAAAAGCCATTGCCATTGTTCACAGTGACTTTAGGCATTTTCGTGCTATGGAGAAGGTTTTCCATTTATATGGAAGTTTGATTTGTATAAGAGTTACAAATATAGCTAACATAGATACTTTTTCATTCTCTGTGTCTCATTCTTGTCTTGAACAAAAGCAAATAATTTTTCCATTGACTTGTTTCTTCCATCATTTTCTTGTCATTTTATAATACTACCAGCTCCACGACGTACCCTTACATACACAGAGGTCTAAGGTAAATGGAAAAATTGTTAATACACTTTCTGAAAAGATCAGAGTGTATTATTTTTATCGTGACTTGTATCTCTAATCATTTCTGTTTGAAATTGTTCTTACAGACTCTCAATACAGATGTATTAAGTAACCCTGACGGAGTGCCAGTCGACATGAAACCTGTCATGAATGGCCAGTAGAGACCTGAGTTCTCAAACCAAGCCTACATGAACTAGTTTGTCACAAAATGGAGGCTGAACAAGTGGCCCTGAGGAGGGGGGCTTCATTGACTTGGAATTTCCTGTCATCACTGCAGTTCACTCTTGTCTTACTTGGCCATTTATGGAAAGGACCAGAAAATACCTATATATAACCTCACAACATAAAGTGTTGAATATTTCCAATACCACAGGACTTTATTTCATTTTTTTTCAGTACTTGATTAAGTTACAACAAGAGACTTGCTTTTGTTTTAACTTGCTGTGAGATCATGTTCAAAGTCATGCATGATTCCCAGCCGGCCTCTGTTCACCGGAACATGAAGGTTGATTGACAAATGACCAAATCAGGTGAATGATCAACCTTGAATTCACACCAGCTGTGATTCCAGCCATTGTTTATGTCAGACTTGTGGTAATGCTGTAATTTGAACATTTACAGAAAGTGTTCTCTCGGTGAGCACAAAGAGGCTCTTGAGAGGGCTCCATAGTGATAGTTTGAAACTTTTTGTGGCATGTGAGAAATGTCTTGAAAGTGTTGTCCTCCAGAGGATTCACATTTTTTTCTGTTGGTTTTACTGTTGAAATGTTGATATTGTGATGTTTTAGAAAAGTATCATCTTCACAAATGTATCTCCAGCTGAGCAAATATCCTGTTAAGAACAATCTCGAACTTTTAAGAACAGTTTTAACAGTGAAATGAACATGTGAAATAAAAAAGACACAATGGTTTGTTCTTGTTAGAAATACTGTGAAATTTTCAATGATAGACTGTTTTCAATTTATACACATATAAATGCTAAGATACGTGTTATAAATATAAATAAAAAGTTGTTTATGTAAATGTCCATTCTCCATTAATCTTAATTCAGTGCAGCCCTGCTGACATTAAATAACAATTATACTGTGAATAGTACAAGTTTATTATTTTAGTGCAAACATAAGTTGAGATCAAAGGGTTGATTTTAACATGGGTTGATGGGGATTGTTAGTTTGCACTATACAGATTACTGATTCGCTTATATCCAGTCTTCTGACAGATTAACCACTTATCGTGCATATATACTGTGTAATAAACAAGGCACAAATAAAACCATGGAAGAGATACTGAGCAGGATCTGAACGTATAATGAGTGGTATTTTTTAAAATGGTAACATCTTGCTAAGAGAGTTGTGAGCGTAAACTCAAAACATTTTTACATTTTTACAATACCAATCAAGATTCCTAATCTTGAAAAAACATAATTCACCAATAGCCTAAAGATAGATAGGACTTACACTCAAAAACAACATTATATTATAAGTTTTTTAGCTAAAATGAAACAAATGTTAAGAAAAACACCTTCCTGAGTCACAGCTCCATGGGTGAGGCTTAACAGATGGGGCTGGACGTATATCTATTGAGGGTTAAACAGAACCAGATGTGGCAAAACATTTTTACGGCCTAAACCACAAAATGAAGAAAGGATAAGTCCACAGTTAAAGAGGGATCATCATCATATAACTTTCAGATCCTTCCAGTTCCGATACAGCGATTAGTACTTTTGACACAGGCCTGTTGGGGAATAAAATGCTCATTTTTTAAACCAAAGCTATGTCCTGGGAGTATCCTCACACTGGGATTTTGAACAGTTTTTTCTTTCTGGATGTCTTATGACATGCCAGTTGCACATCGGCAGCTTGTTCCATGTTGCTCACCACAGGTACGGGGATCCACACTAAATGATTTCGTTCTGTTTGTTTGTTTTCCCGGCAGCTTTTGTCAATAAAAAATAACTACCGGTAGTGTATCAAATGCTCTGACTTCTCTGTTTTTTTTCTGAATTTTGAAGACGTTGCTTACAATGCTTCAGCTTTAGAACACTGTCACAGCAGAATGTGTTGAATTACATAACCAATAAAGGCTCTGAAACCATTAAGTGAAAACTGGGTCAATTTTAGTGTGGATTTTTGTCAAATTCTAAATGTATGTTTTTACATCGTGGGAAGCTCATGTTTCTTCAAAATAAAAAAAGTTGCATTTGGCAGTAGCAAAGAATGATGGTGGCAATTAGTCCCCCAGCAGTCTGCAGTTTGTGTCTGGGCTATGTTTTTGTATTTTTTGGAGCTGATTAGATTAAGATTAGACCCTTGGTTGAATAACTAGCTGTTCAAATATACACCAAACAAAAAAAGAGACAGATCTTTTACAGCCAAAAAAGAAAACATACTTGAGTTAGGTAAAAATCTTGTCACTGATTTGTTGTATTTATAATTTTCTATTTTTGTACATTCCGCAATGCATAGTAAAGATCACATTCAGATGATAATGATACACTGGACCTCAATAATACTGTTATAATACTATGAAATGGAAGCATTATCAGTTCAAATTTCCTAGGTTGCAGGGTTACCCTTAGCCTGAGCATAACAGTGCCCTCATGTATCATATCTTTTTCCACTAATCAGTGTGCCTGCTTCTCTCTCTGGTTCAGCCCTTATTCCAAATTTGTTTACTGACAACCTGTTTTTGTGGTGGTTTGTGGGGGTAAAACACATAGACTGCAGTTGCCTCGGTTGTTTGTGGTCATGCTGCTTTTGTTCCATCAACCTCAATGTCAAACAGGAGGGGGGGATTGCACTACCATTACCAAACAGAAGAAAACGGGTTAAACTAGAGGAGTTTCTAAACTCTCAGCTAATTCTGAGAAAAGTCAACGGAGGGGGGGGGGAAAGACTGTTTGCACGTTAATGACACAATCAAAGTAATTCACACACACACTTTTTTCTCTATTGGCTACTTTTATGAGCATGAAATAAATCTTAGCTTGGACCTCAACTAACCAAAGGGAGGTATCGGTATCTCAGTGGGAATTACCTCTCATACAACTGTTGCTACAGATTTCAGATGTGGGTGGCTACCCTATGGGTTTGTACCATTTAGCAGCATATCACACACTTACTGTCAGTAAATACTAAAAGTTTACTGGAGAAATACAGTAGATCAGTTCTGTAAAATTAGTTATTTATCCTAAATATTTAGTATATTCATATTTAGTGAAACTGAGTTGTATCTTCTCTATCAATGTTTGCTGGCTATATTCTAACCTAATTGTAACTTAAAACAACTGAAACGCAGAGTGACACTAAACTTTGGTCTAATCCCGAACATTAACCCCAAGACTTCGAGCTAAATGTTCTTTGTGGGAGCTTTCCATCCCCCATGACTCCTTGCAACCACCCTTTTCCCTTATGACTTGTGGGTAGTTTCCTCTTGTAGTGAATTCCTCTATTTTTGTGTAGTTGTGGGACTAGGGGATGGGAAGTAAATAGACAAAGAGCAACAGCTCCTTTCTTATGTTAGGCCCAAAAATGAAGATAAAACTGAATTCTGAACAATTGTGTGAGTATAAACTACTTTTAAGGTTTTGTTAGCTAGAAGAGGTTTGCGACTTGTGGATAAATGTGACATAGTGTTTTTAGTAATAACAAGTAAATATTGTTAAAATTAAAATTAAGTTTTAAAAGCATTCTTAAAAAGTAATTTATGTGACTACATTAATCAGGACCTAACATCCTATCCAATTGTCATCGATTTGTCTCAAGGACACAAACGTCTGCGCCACAGCAAGTTCCAGAAACGACCTGTTCAGCATAAACAGCTCACTGACTCCAGCATTTTACTAGAATTCTAATACACAGTATCAAAATCCACATGGAACATCTAATGTTTAACTTTTCTTCTTAAGGGCTGCTGCTGGTCGTGAAAAAAGGCTGAGTATATGGAATGTGAAGAGTCATTTAAACGTTTACTTTGATAACAATTCACCGGAAATTTCACTCATTCACACTTGCCAATAATTCCGCTAAAAGATCATAAAATGTTGTTTGCTATCTTTAGCACACAGAGCAACATTTGTTATTTATTAACTTATTGTAAGTGAAAAGGTGCTCATTTTTCTCATGAGCTCCTTTGTCATGCACACTTGCACTCGTAGAAATGTGCAGAGAGGAGTTGGCAAAAGCACAGCAGGTTTGTTATTGCAAAGATTGTAAGGGTTATGAACAGCTGCTGTGCACATCTGTAAGGTAAGTGCAGATGTTTTCTGCTATCTGATAACGTAATAATTTACTGCATATGTTCAAAAACTGTCACCCAAAGGGGAGGGTGGATGTTTTTGTTGTCTGCGATAGGCTGCACGTCATCATTGACTGGAAAAAATGCTGTAGTGCGGGGAAAAAATGGCAGCATCCTCATCTGTAGACGGCAATAGCACACCGGTGTTTGAACGACTAATGTTTATTGTGTGCAGATAATTTCATATTACCATTAAAGGCAAATTTTTGACAATGAAAAACTGTTTGACATTGAGAAAAACTGAAAACATTGTATGAAACCAAGACTTTAAACTGTTGTTTTACTGTACCAAGAACAGCTATTATTTGTAAAAAAGCACTCAAATTACATTAAAGTGAAGAATGTGTGAACCCCACACCTTACGCTTCTGGGTTGAGTGAACATGCTAACAACAATAGGTTAATCTGATCACTGCTGGCTTTACTTGCTATCAAAATGTTGCACAATTTTGATCAAATGTTTCAGTTTATCCCTTTTATTCTCTACAGGGAAGTTTATTCATGTTATTTTTCATATTTTACTAGATACAGTAAAAAGACCTAATGTTCAATACATTTTTACTAAATCTCTGAATGATACTTTTGGTCATCAATCTTTGCGTGCTGTTGTTTTCCTTGTTATTTACTCTCCTATTTTTGTCATCGTGATAATTGATTCATGCTTTTCCCAAAAGTATTTTAAAAATGGTATGACTGATGTAACCAAAATAAAGGTCTGAGAGGATGAGCATTCCGGCAGATTACAGAGTGTTTGAGCTGTACAGAAGGAGCCTGAAGCAAGGCAGGAATCACAAATAAGAGAAGGGGGAAATGAGTTGCCCTGTGTGGTTAATTAAAGGTGAGAGCTGTGCCCTTCTCCACCTCACAGTGGCTTTTCCTCATTCAGCCAAAAGGGAAAAGCTGGAGGCTTCTGTCAATTTTGATCATGCACAAGAGATAATAATGTTTTTGCTATATAAAATTGTAGGACTCCTTTGTTTCTGCATCCTATTCTTCACAAAAAGCCTTGATTCAAATTTACAACAGTGACTTCCTCATCAGTGCAGTGTTAAAAGCCCAGCAAATCAGGAGGAATTTCAACAGAGCCGACGAGAAGAATTTGGGGATGATGGTGATCGATTTAGGGGTGCAAACTGTTATTAAAGTATTTGTCTATCATTTTATGATACCTGCTGGATAGTAAAAAATTTCCTCACACAGCTTTGTTTCACTCCTATGCTGATTTGATATTTCGGCAACTTTCTGTAAAAGTATAAACAGCGGCGTGCAAGCAGATGAGCAGCAGGGAGTAGACCAGTGTGTCAGAAGTGATTAAAGCAGGTCAAAGGCAGTGGACTGGTATACCATTTGCCTGTCTCATACATTATCACCAAATAATTTTCATTCAACACAAAGAAAAGGACTCACCCAGTCTTCTGATTAAAGGTCCAAATACAACAATGTGATACAACAGAATTGTAAAAATGCCTAATACCAAATGGATAATATGAATATATGTTTCATGTTGATCATTTCTTTGGTAGTTTTTCAATTCTCATTCAAGTTCTGTTTAAATCATATGCAAGTCAAATTGCATTCTGTGTCAAATTTAATGTTATAACAGACGTGAGAACAGGGTTTTCCACATTTTCAGTCTCTAAAATCAGTCATCTGTTTGTTCCTCAGCACAAGCAAAAACCGATCTAAAAATAAAGAGAACCTCTTGGCTGGAACAATAATAACATGAACTGCAGCATCTGTCATCGTGTCATCTCTGCTGAAATTAAATTGTCTTAAGTGTCCCTATGAAAAGGGCAATCCCTCCTGTCCTGATTGACAGCAGACCAGTACATTAAATGGTGCAGTCATCAAGATCATATGATCCGATGAGTAGGAGCTGGAAAGACAGTGAGCAAGTGAGGCCTCCGGAGCAGTCGGACGCTGATTTACTTTTGTTTGTTCCCACTGAAGCTAATAGGGGAAATTATGCTCTGAGTCTGTGGGATCACGGCTGTGAACACAAAGTTGTGTAGATGAGATGGCCTGGCAACCTCTCCAGAGTGAACCCCGCCCCTCAGTCCTGGTCAGCTGGGATTGGCTCCAGCCCCCTCTGCGACCCCATTGAGAATAAGCAGAAAATGGATGGATGGATGAGTGTTACCATTCTGGCATGGTCATACAAATGGCAACTGAAACCAGCCATCTGGTTTTCTTTGCTCAGGGATGCGAGCTTTGACCGGATCTAACTGGATAGATGTTGATGTTTATGGCCAACAGGGATAAGGGTTTTATTGAAATATAGAATGTGTTTTTCTTAACGTGGTATATTTAATAGTAAGCTCTGTCAATTATTCATTTAATTATTTTACTTCTGTAAATTATGAGAAATTGTTTCGTTTTCTTAAACAAAAAGCACATTGCAGAAACTTAATTTAGTCCTTAAGAACATTATCGTGTAACACAGGTTTCACAATGGACAACTTCCACTGGACCTCAGCAAACAGTTAAACATCTGGGGTGCAGTGACCTGTTCAGGATCATCCAGTTTATCCCCCACTAAGTTTACACTTCCCATGATGATCAAGGGAGAAAGTGTTCCTCTTTTCAGTTGATTCTATTCCATTTTGCATTCACATCTCTCCCTCAACTTGTCTGTTTGTTTTTCATCTTATTCCAGGAATTACTTGGAATTTCAGAGAGCCCAATCACTTGCTTCAGCGGACACACAATTTTCTCACTGATATTGTTATGACTCCTAACAGTTCCCAAAAAATGGCAGAAGTAAATACAGGAGCACAGCATCTAAAACAGTAAAAAAATCGTTTTCCAAATCTGTATTTTAAATTTAAAAAATGCTCCTTACAACATCTGCGAAAGACACAAGAACAATGTACAATGTTATCCCAGTTTTCATTGGGTGAAAAGCAGGGTGTAATGAAACAGCTATATGAGAAGATACTGTCATTGCTTTTTCTGCAGAGGTAAGTGTTTACTGCCTCCAAGTGGCAACAACAAAGACTTACAACTGAGCTGGTAATTGTCCTCATACTCAGGTGATGCAGCTGTGGGACATAAAGCCAATGAATGTCATGCGGAAATGTTTTTAAATCTACTTATGCCCATCAGATTATATTTTACCCGTTTAAACTAGTTTGTGCAACTTTTATCAGAAATTTGACATCCATCTGAGGAGAACAGAACGGTTTGGTTTGAAGAGCTTTTTCTTTATTACGGATCAATATTTGAAGGACTGTATCACTTTGAATTTCTATCAGCAAATCAGAGAACTAGTGAAACGCACTAGCCTTTATCATTTTGGATCATGAATCTTGGAGGTCAACTAAACAGGAATTAGTATTTAGACTTGCTGCCCTCAGTTTAACTTACCCATGATGAGATCAGAACCTAGAATACCAATATCATGAATTGATAAACATTCAGTTTGGACATAGAAGGTCTTTACGGAATTTTGTCAAAGATTCTGGCGGGTTGCCCAAAACTTATGGTAGAACTCTGATCGATTAGGAAGATTAAAATTCCTTGAGACACACTCAATTTAGTTGTAAATACAATGTTCTCTGTCTGTGCTCCATCGCTCAGGGGCAGTGTTGCGCCGTTAGGAATTTGCTGTGGATCTCAGATCACAAACAGGTAGACCGTGTGGAGGGAGGTGGTGCTATTGCGCACGACGCGCGAACTTGCGCGATCAACATCAGTTAAACTGAACGCGTGTTTTCCGGACAGCTGTTGCAGTTTAGTGTCAAGAAGGCAGAAATAAACGGCCCAATATCCTCCCCTCCTTTACTTCGTCCGCTGTGTCATTACTGTTGGAGGTTCCGAAGCTTTCACGCGCTGCTTTGGATCCGTTTTGGTGTCGCGAGCTGTGCGCCTTGGCTTGGACGTAAGACACAGGACCCGACGGACCATCGTACCATTGCATTTGAACTTTTGCAGCCTCTGGATCTATTTCATTCAGTGGTTTCTTCGTTTTTACGAGCAATTGGGGAAATTATATGTTGCTCTGAGTAGAGGGAATTAACGCATGCGTTTGGAGCAGATATGGTTTTAAACTCTGGAAGTTTAGCCCAGCTCCCGCTCTCCTAAACTTCACATCTTTGCATATTTCGTCATACTTAAACTGAACACCCGAGGAGGCTTGAGGGGACCGGGGAACATGGTCAACGAGCGGAAACCGCGGCTTTGTATCATGGCAAAAGGGGACAGCGGGTATGGATTTCACTTGCATGGCGAGAAAGGGAAAAGCGGACAGTTCATCCGCAAAGTGGAGCCCGGGTCCCCTGCAGAAGCCTCGGGGCTGCGCGCCGGGGACCGGGTGGTCGCTGTGAACGGAGTTAACGTGGAGAAGGAGACGCACCACCAGGCAAGTATATCTAAATGTGCATTCATGTTAGAGGTTTGAACTTGTGTTACAAGTTGCCAAAGTACGAGTGCATTAACAGGTCACTTTTGATGAAGGCATATTGAGAAAGTTCGTTGAGGGACAACTGTCAGGAGTCTCCTCCTATGATATGTGGTTGGTGGTCGATTTTGATATTTCCATCAACACGCACAAGCACTTTTTCTGTTTTTGTTTTTTGTTGTTTTTCTTCCGTTGTTGTTTTTTATTTTTTGGTATTGTGCCACTCTCCAATCCCATGACCGGTCTATTTTCACTGGTTGAGCTGTTTAGTTCCCAAACAGAAAGAGGGACTTCAGGCCAATTGCCAGGTTACAGACAACAACAAACTTTCCAGATATTGACTTCTGGTGCAAGCCAGCATTAGAAATCCAGTCGACAATCAGCTTACCAGTCATGAAAATCTACAAGCACAATGATGTCCTGTCAAAGTAAACCCATCAGAAACTGTCTACAGGCCTGAGGGTGACATTCATTTTCCTGGCTGGTGATCGGATAGACAGCAGGTTCTGATAATTATTTTCCCACGAGAGCTCACACCACCTGCATGTTCTCTCTGTAACCTCGTGACAATAGATGAAAACAAGACTGCTGGTGAGGGAATCTCTGAGAACAAACCTCCTGCATTTTTCATTTAACAAAGATCGCTAACTTTTTAGATAGAGATATGCTTCCTTTAAAGATAGACGTGAAATAATGTTTGATATTACTAAACTGTGAGAGTCTAATCTAATGATGGGAAAATGGTGGCTTTATTGTAACTTTATCATCTGTTTTCATCTTGCCCGTCCCTCAGGTGGTACAACGGATAAAGGCAGTAGGGGATGAGACCAGGCTGCTGGTGGTCGACCAGGAGACCCATGATAGTCTGCGCAGCCTGCGTCTCACGGCTACTGAGGAGATGGCCATACTCGGGACTGCAGCTCCGATCTCTTCCTCTCCACCAGCCTCTCCCTCCCCAGCTCCATCTTCGACCCCCTCCTCCCCTGCCAAGAAGAGGGAGAACGGCTCAGTGTCAAAGCAGAGCAGCCAGGTGCAGAAGCCCACCAGGAGGTCCCCCTCAAAGGCAGCAAAGAAGGTATGCTGGACACGGGATTAAAGCAAATTATCAACATCTTTAGGTAGAAAACACAACAGATAACAGGCAGGAGACACCTCTTTTTTTAGATCCATTTTCTGTTCAGACGTGTCCTCACCCTAGATTTGTTATCTGGCTGTTACAACAGTTTAAAGGGAAATAAGTTCATGTCGTGCAGGTTCTGCCGCCTTACATGCATGTGTTTTGCGTGTGTGTGCCCATGAATGTGTGTGCTGACGGGATACCATGGCTGGAGGCATTCCAGATGTTATGTTAGATGCAAAGGAGGGCTTGAAATGTCAGAGTACTGTGGCAAAGTGCTAACAGCTGATCCATTTTGCCCGTGTTTTTTTTCCGCTTGTGTGTTCTAGTTTTGTTTTTTTGTTGTTATTGGGTTTTTTTTATGGAGACAGTTGCGTCTCATCTCCCGCTGGGCATATTTATGCACTTTAACTTTTACTACTGACTACATAACAGTTCAAGAAGGGCCCTTGGAGCTTTCTTTTCATTTTCCTTCTTTTTTTCTTGTTGTTATTCCATGATGACATGAAAACAGGATGTGTTTCCTCCTGCTCTGTGTATCCAGGAATGCAAAATTCTGATTGAATTTGGTTTTCACATGGTCCCTATAAGACAGATGAGGCTGCTCAACTTCTGCTTTCTGCATTTACATGACATGTGTTTTCACTTAGGGTTGCCCTGCCTCTACAAGCAGCACTATTTTACAGGAGTGGTGACACGGCCAATCAGACGCATTTTAAACGTGTGTATGTGTGTTTTTGTTCAGTCCTGGAATTTTGCCCTCTAAGGAAAGTTTTCAGTGCTTGGTGGGACTGGATTGACACAGCAGATTCATCTCTTTTTCTCTCTGTTTTAATGACTATTAAACAAATGAAAAGAAAACTTTACAGGATTAGGCAAACCATATTAGCCGTTCAAAATAGAACCATTTAAACAACTGTTGTGACTGAACATGGATTGCCTTCTTTTGAAAACCAGAGCATTGCTTTTTCTCGTCTCATTTCAAAGGAAGCTTTTCTTCTACATAAATGAAGACTAAGTGTAATATTACCATGTGGCTGAGACCAGGATTTGGCAATCCTTGCACACTTAGAGCATAAAGTAAAAGATGATTCAGAGATGAAACCATGAATCACAAAGCGTTCCATGAGGAACTGCAGTTTTTCATTTTGATTCTTTTTCTATTTTCAGTTGTCAGTCGAAGTCAACTCTTTGCTCACTTTCATTATTATAATTCTGGGCCAAAAAAGGGTCAAACTGCTGAGAGGAGCACATTTTTTTCGTTTGACTTTTTAAGAGAAAATGGAGAAGAAGAATGAGTTAAGAGGAGACATAGCAGGCAGAATTTGGACAGATGGAACATGAAACTGAGGGCAGCCAGAAAGAGCCTTGAAGATTTGTTGGAAGGAGTTTTGGAAAGTGGGCCCCCAGCACCCTCAGTGAGGCAGCACAGTGGGAAACTCAAGGCTCAAGGCAGGGTAGTTTAGCATTAAGAAGAGGCATTTTGAAGGATAGATGCTTGCAATGGCTGTGCATGGGCTAGTAAATTGATTATTCTTGGCTTCACATGAATAGGAAAAAAAAACAAGCATGCAGCATACATCTCAGAAAGGGTTTGTAATCTGTAAAATGAAGAAGACATTGTTATAGTTCTGCTGACTGTGGCGCTGACGTGTATGAGACCTGCATGATAAAACTGACTCTATTTGTCTTAGCTGAGTGACAGCAGATATGCAGCTGCAAACATCCAGGAGCTGCAGGACTGTTATTTCAGACTCCCAGCAATACAAGAACTAAAGTTAGGAACTGTATCAGGGTCCCTCAGATGGCCAAACTCCTCACCCTGACCCAAATTGAGAGATCAGATACCCTTAGTGTTACTACTCCTAGCCCATAGGTGCTAAATGAATTACTTACAGAAGATTAAGAAAATAATAAGTTCAACACTCATCGTAAACAAGCCTGACTTTCTGACGCACAGGCAAACCAAGCTCTCACTCTGCCTGTACAGGAACCAGATGGTCCATAGCAAAGACACTGATACTCCCAGCTCCCAAAGCCCCTCCCTCAGGATACCTTGAGGGACGTGGTTGTAAGCTTTATCCGAGTCCACAAACACATCCATGACCACGGGTTAAGGAAAAATCCCACACTCCATCCAGTATGCTTATAATGAGGTTCCTCTGTGCCATTACCATGAGGAACACAGCGCCGCTCCTCCTAAATGTATGGAAGGATTATTGGAAAACTGAATGTTGCTGCACCTTCTAACGGCGACGCAGAGATAAATTGCAAGCATCGCCTGGATAGCCAGGCGATGCTTGCTGTTGTTGTTGAAGCTTGATGCTCTTATTTGGCTCAGTTCCAAACAAACTGTGCAAGCTGGAGAATAAATACCGATTTTTATCTGTATTGCAGGAACTAGATAGTGAGCTTGGATTTTTTTGTGCCTCATACGATGTATATATATATATATATATTTATATATATATCTTATCGTATATAGTATATACCATGACAACATTGAACTTCTTGTGATTGACACTCTCTCCAAGACTTTATACCCACAAAATACATGATAGCTACTTAATAAAAGCAGAAAATAAGAGAGCTATTTGTTTTTTCATGATAATCTTTATTGAGCAACAAACTAGATTTTGGGGAGTGAGGGCCGTCATTTGAACACTGACACTGCATGCATGTGATAGGCTAAGGAAACGTTACTTTAGACAGGAGCTTTCTGCAACTAATCCCCAGCACATTTGCAGCAATAAATATTTTTACCAAAGGTTTAGCATGTGTTCTCCAGGTTATATAACGCCACCTGCATTTCTCCTCTGTTTTATGGTCACTCATCCCAAAGGTTTTCTCTGAGTTGCATTCCTCTTTCTGTTTACGTGCCTCACACTTTGTGGCAGAGCAGTGTTTCTGTATGGAGTGCACAGCAACAAGTTTTATTTGTCATCTGTTTGTTAAATCCATATTTTTATTTCAGACCGAAAAAAAGGAACATTTCCATTATCACTGTTTTTCTGCACCAAAGCTCTCTTATCAGAATTGAAGAGGAGTCCTCTGAACCAGTCTTCAGCTCTTACTAGACTATCACTGTTGACCACTACCACCACTGTGGTGTGATAAACAATCTTATGTAAGCCTGGCGAGCATGTTGGCATTTGTTGTTATTGGCAAGCCGAAAGTTCCCCGTTAGACAGAGCTTAGACTCCCACCTCGGGAAGAGCTTTAATCACGTTTGAGGGAGGTGGGGAGACATTGAGTTCGATTGGGCCATATTTCGTGCCTCCATTGCCGAGGCGGCTTCCCAGAGCTGCGGTCAAGAGGACTCAGTTGAGGCGGCTCAGGCATCTGATTGGGATGCCTCCTGGGCGCCTCCCTGGTGTGGTGTTCTGGGCATGTCCCACCAGGAGGAGGGCCAGAAGAAGACCCAGGACTACGTCTCTCGCCTGGCCTGGGAACGCCTTGGGATCCCCCCAAATGAGCTGACAGAAGTAGCAGGGGAGACGGAAATCTGGGTTTCCCTGATTTGAACGCTGCCCCCGCAGCATTTAATGGACAATGGATGGATGGATGGATGGATGGATGGATGGATGAAAAAGTATCATATTTCTACATGCAGCTTTATGAAAACTGAAAATTGACTGACTTAAAAGCTTTTTTCACTGACACACACGTGTGAAAAGCAAATTTGTTTTTAAAAACTTATTTTGACATTTGAAACTACAGAGTGGGGGGGGGGGGTCCAGAAAATGAGTGGAAAAACAAAGACATACACATGAGAAGTCATAAGTATTCCACAACCACAAAGAGGAAGTCATGTCCACTCATTTATCGAAAAGGCTGTATTTGGGAGTAGATTTCGGTTTCCCTTTCCCACCACTTTCTTGAATTTTTCTCTATTGCCTTTTGTTGTTGTTCTTTCTAATAACTTTAAAGCCAAGCTTACTAATATGAACACAGAAATATTATTGTCATATGAACTCATTAGCAACTTTATACAGAACGATGCAGTCACCTTTCACATGATGACCACATGGGCTTGTCAGGCAATAAACTACATGAAACAGTCGGAGCTGTCCACATGATTGATCCTGCTCCTAGCATCCACGCGAACAGTAATTTATGTTATGTAGATATCATGTTAAGAATTGGCAGCTGCCTTCGAGAGATTATCTTCTGCAACGGTCAATTACGTCTGTTAGAATGGTTTTAGAGGATGAGTTTATTGGTGGGATAGTTTGCAATGGTTTAAGCTACAGAAACCCGATTCAATAATTAACCTGCTGGGTTGTGATGTCTCACATTTTAATTATGTGAATCTCAAGTTGTCTGACAGGATGCATAAAGACGCAACAAGCTGCATATTTAATTCAGTGTGAGTGTTGGTGGTTGTTCACAAAGACAAGTGTTTATGTGCATATTTGTGCACAGCTACAGCCACACATGGATCACAGGTGGGGAAACCTCAACAAACACACATTTCTAGGTAAACTGACATATACTAAACAAGTTTTTTTCTGGAAGAGTTTCCATGAAAATATTCCTGACTATTTTTTCAAAAAGCCCTGATTGTGGCAGTTCTGTGAGTGAAAGAGATCTCTGTAAGAAGATAATTGGTCCCTGTTTCAAGGTCAGGCCCTGGGATTGGAAGGTCAGAACTGAATAAACAAGAACAGAAACACTCTTGGGTCCTTGAGAAGCACAGCCACAAATGGCATGGTGTTGGTGGCAAAAACCAAAAGTAGAGTCAGAGATGCAGCGGCAGTAATGTTTGACCTGTGCAACTATTTCAAACTGTAAAAGGCCGTGAACATTCCTGGTCATCCCCGTCTCAATTTTCCTCCAATATTTATGTTAACGCTCTGTCAACAAATAGCCTTCTGCTTTTTTATCCTAAAAAGCTGTTAACACTGCCCATTAGATTAAAATGACAAAGAAAAATGAATTGATGGCAGGACTCCAAC